ATTGAGAGAATCCTTTTCCCCAAACTCTCCTTGTTCCTCTGGGAGGTATGCACAATTCTGGCTTACGCTCAGACAATTTGCATTTCCTTGACATTCAAATTTACTTTCCTATTTTTTTTCTTTGCATCGCTTCACACAAAAAACGGATTAACACGAGCAGCAGATCAGACCTTATGATATTATTTTTAAGTATGCTCTCACGGTACACCCACAGAAGTGTTTGCACTTATTGTGGCTGATTAGCCCTCTTAACAGGACTGTGTGGGTGTGTACAGAGAGTTCTTGACTAACATATCCCTCTAAGTTATATGTTTGCCTGGATGATTATCTTTAGTGCACTGAGTTTAGTGACATTTCAGTTAATTACCAGTAAATCCCCACTCAGCGTCAACCTGGGCGCAGGTCTAATCAGCCAGGAAAAGTCAGAGCACCTGTGAGGCTTTCCAGGGCCTTTAATGAGACAGGTGCTCTCCTCTTCCTTCTGTATTAATTCTCCACAGCTGCCGACTGTCTGTTTCTTCATCACCTGGTCAGTTTGACTCCTGAGCGGCACAATGAAATATGGATGAATGTGGGTAAAGTTGGCAGGCGAACAAACACACTGAGATCTGCTGAGCTTTCTTTCTTTCAACACTCCTTCCTCGCTACTTTGGTGAAAACGCTCAGATGATGATAATTTTTTTCTCCAAAGCTGCTCTCAGATACACCCTTTGTTGTACACATGGTCCTGTCACGTCACCATGGCGACAGCTCCAGCATTCGGAACAACAGCTGGCTGTAAATCAGGGTTTGCTGAGCAATGCCTGCCACTTGACAAACTGCAAATGCTTGAAGCTGATGCATTTCTGTGGTTTTTAACCGTTTTGGGTTTGCTGCCTGACTGCGCTGATCTACCTGAACAGCAGAGGGCGCTTTCTCTCAGGAGAGCTCGGTTTGAACACCTGCTGTGACACTTACTGGATCTATGCAATGTTTTGATCATTGCTCAACACTTAATTACTCTAATGGGGATAAATTAAATGGAATAATTCACTGTGCCATTATTTATTTATTTGCAGGGACTACAGAATATCTATCAAGTTGATTTTTGGCTTCTTTTCTATAACTTTGGTATTAATGTCAGCAAAGTGGATAATAAAGGGTAAATTGGGACTGTGCTAATAAACATGGACAAAACTACTGTGATGTTACCTCCAGGTTCTGATGCCCTTAGTTTGCCTGTCAGCATCCTGGTTTATGAGCAAGGAGACGTGTTTTACTCTTAATCAGACCTGCCAGTGTGCAATGAGAACATCGTGCGCAAATCATAAAATGTCAAAAGAGAACACAAACCCAGCAAAAATGTTTATTGAGGGCAACTATGAATTTCCTCTCGTTTACCTTAGAAATGCGAGGAAAAGAAATTGGCCAGGTCGTCTAGTGGGAGTCAACCTGTCTCCAAACAGTTCAGCTCTAACTGCATTGATTGCAGTCACTCTCATACAGATTACGGAAGTTTTGCAAATAATTGTTGTCTTACTTAGAAATGCAGACAGTTTGCCAACATGCTGCAATCAAACTGAGTCTGCGCTGATGAGCACAACCCAGCAGATCTCTTTGCAACAAGGGGATCAAGTCAAATGGTCACTAGCTGGTTGCATTGCTGTTATTGTTGCCAAGCACCTGTGTCTTTTGCAAGTTGTTAATGAGAATTTCTGTGTGTGCAGATTTGTAAGAACAGATTTGTTTATTACAAATGAATCACATGTAACTGCTAACTTGATCCCACTGGTGTCAGACTGACTGAAGTCACTTTAAAGATGGCAGTGACTTTAATTGGTCACTTACCTGGTGCCCATTGTCAAGTTCACTACACATACGCACACTGTGAAGTGCAGTGTTGGCGAGTAACGGAATACATGTACCGGCATACAAAATATGAGTAACTGTATTCCCTTACAGTTACCACTTAAAAAGGTGGTATTCAGAATACAGTTACTTTGTTGAAATAAAGGGATTACACAGCGGTCTTTTCCTGTTTCATATGTTAGGCTATGCCCTCTCTATTTTGGGTAATTTCATGCCGGTGGAAACCCAAACAAAACATGCATTGAGAGGCTCTAATGCCTGTGTCTCAATCTCGCGGCCCATGTCACCTCTACTTGCAGCCGGCCACATAATGACATGAGGAAATATTTTTTTTAAATCATTATTTAAATAATTATTTAATATAAAGGAAATAGGCAGAGTGTTAAAGGCATAGCCCTAAAGAATGTAGCCTCAT